ATGTTGGAATAAGATCACTGTGTTATTCTAAGGAAACTTGGAAGATACGCAGAAAGCTCGGGATATGGACCACGATAAGTCCTTCACTTCTCTAAAATTGTGTCAGCTATGATCGTGAGCATCAGATGGTTTGAAAGACTCACCGCATTTGAGCCCAATTTTCTTAAAGGCCCAATAAATTCCGTTGCCTGTGTCTCTGTCGGTGTATTCGAATACCCTTTTCCAGAACTTCTCCCACATGTCTTCGTCAACGAGACCAAGGAGGTCGGCTGGGAGTGGGGATTCCACATGTTTGAGGCAAAAAACCATCTCCAGAATGTCATTCTCGATCCCCCCCGCTGCTTCACTCCTGGCTGGCACACTCTGAATCTTGGTCACCAAGAGCAGCCGCTCATCAGCGAACACTACATCAGGAAGGGCCTTAATTGACTTGGTGTAAACCAGAAGACTACTGATGTCTTTGACCGCCAAATCAATTTTCACGGCGTCCTTTGCTCCTGGTGAAGATTCCTTGAGATTTCCATCAAATCTATCTATACGCTTGGCGTCAGGCTTTGTAGTGATTCCCTTAGATAGGAACAAGATGAACAAATAGTAGTCGTGGAGTAATACCGAGTTGTAGGCGCTGTGGGCGTTCCACAGTTGTGGCACACTAACAAGCTTGATGGCGCCAATCTATAGTTCAACATTCGGGGGATCCGGCCAATTTGAAGAAGGGAGGTCGGCAGGGTGAATCAGAAATGGAGGCGACTGTGTACGAGCTGCGGGCGTGCCACACTAATGAGTGTGATGACTCCCATTTCTGGTTCAACATTCGGGGGATCCGGCCAAATTGAACAAGGGACGTCGGCGGGGTGAATTAGAAAAGGAGGCCACTGTGTACGAGTTGTGGGCGTGCCACACTATCAAGTTTGATGTCGCCAATTTCGAGTTAAACATTCGAGGAATCCGGCAAAAGTGAGGAAAGGAAGGCGACGATGTCTGATCCCAAGTTGACCGACTTGTGGGACAATATTTGAATTGTTTTAGCTGTAAGCCGGAACTTGGCCGGTACCAAGTTTTGACGAAGTTAATCACTTTACGCAGGGTTCTCCCAACACAACTTAGTTAATTTATCAGTGAACGGCTGGGTCTTCAATACCAGCCACCAGCCACGATTCCATACAGTCCATTATTACAGAGACGGGGCATCCCACCTGAAACCGCCGAACCCCGGTTGACGCCGTACGTTGCTCATTTATTTTTTCACCTCAACATTCACTGAACAAGCCTCAGCTATTTGATGAGAGGCAACTGTGGCCAACTATCTGTCCAATGGCGTGCGTTGCCCAAGTACGCCTCGATTGCTGCGAGAATGCTTCGCTAGACGTCCTTCCTGGCGCCGACCTTGCAGGCAATCCAAGGCCGTTCGACGGCATATTCAGGAAGCAACATATCCTCTAGCGAAGTCCTTCCTGGCGCCGACCTTGCAGGCAATCCAAGGTCGCTTGACGGCAAATTCAGGTGGCAATATAAAGAGGATATATACCCATGTACAGGCAAGTAGATGTAGACAAAGAAATAAAAAATATACATGAGAGAAATGCTTAGGTGACGGCGCGGCATATAAACCATGATTATAAATACAGACGGCAATATAAAGAGGATATATACCCACGTACAGGCAAGTAGATGCAGAGAAAGAAATAAAAAATATACAACAGTGCATGAGAGAGAGAGAGAAATGCTTCGTGGCATATAAATATGAGTATAGGTAGGAATGCATACTGAATAAACAGGAGAAGGACGCTTCCTGCCACACGTACCCCGACGGTGAAAATTGAAACTTGAAGGTGTCTAAAGCAATTTTTAAATTACGACATTGCAAGCAGTGTCTGAATCATACCTTCCTGTAGGGTATGAAGATTAGGGAAAGATAAAAGGACGCACGTTATAAAAGCCATTCTGTCCACCGAGGTGGAACATCGCGCCGCTAAAGTTCGAGTGCGCCATCTGCAGCGCGTAGTCGAGCCCCCAGAGTGCCACGCCGAACGCGTCGGAGATGCCAACGAAGATGTAGAGCACTCTTCTGGGCGGCGGCTCTGCAGACGAAAACGACATGTCCCCGAGTCAGACGCCGACGCCGCAGTCTCCTTCCAAAAAAACGCGCCGTGGACCTCCGCACACCATACACATGCGCCTCCTCTTTATCGCGCCTCCACTCTTAGTAAATACAAAAAGCGCACACACCGTATTCGTCTCAAAGAAAAAGAAGGAAAAAGCCTTCGAATACGCAGCATGCGGAGGCGGGGAGTCGAACCCCGACAGTTGCTTTAATTTTCTCTCCGAATCCCCAAATGAAATGCAGCGGTGCACCCTCACCATATCCGCTTGCTACCCTCAGTGACTGAAGTTGCCAAGTAATAGGATTTTATTGGACTGCGAGAGAGAAAAAAGAGCCATAAAATGTTTCGGAGTCAAACCTTAAGCTTGAATTCAACTGGATGGATAACGGAGTCCTGCTTTGAAAGCTGTGTCTGTGGGCTTGCGAAAACCAAAATCAAAAAATGTTGGATACATTTTCCAGCGCGGACATGGAGAGTCGAACCCCATCAACTGCCTCCAGTTTTTCGCATGAAATGCCGTGGTGCTCCACGCACCACGTCCGCTACCCTCATTTACTCAAGGTGCTATCTGGGAGAATTTTATTGGGGGTGTGTCGAAAATGGTGGATGGGCAGACGGGCGACACGGGCAGAGGGATTGATATATATGGGTACCAGTTTTATTGCGGGAATAACTGAGTCGCGGTTTGAAAGTGGTTGGGCGTGCACAAAAAAAGAACCAGAAGAGGAAAACGGAAAACGAAAAAAAGAAAATCTGTGGTTTGACCGATGCATGGCAGCATGCGGACGCGAGGAGTCGAACCCCGGTAGCTGCTGTCAGATTACGGAGTGCAGCGGTGCACCATACACCACGTCCGCTTCCTACTCTCATTTATTTCTTCCTATGAGTGAGATAGAAATAAGGTATTCGAACTGCGGGACAATAAAAAGCATGTGAAGCTCAAAATATGCGGACGCGGGGTACCATATGCAGCGGTGCAGCTCGCACCCCGTCCACTTCCCGCTCTCAGTTCTGCAAGCTGCTAGGTAGGATGATTTTATCTGCCCTGTGTGGGAAGGAACAAAAAGCTAGATGGGTAGACTCATCAGCTGCTTTTTTGTACTGGATGGAATTGTGGGTATAATTGAGTCGCGGTTTGAAAGCAGTTCAACTGTTGAATTGCGTGACATAAAAAAACTGCAAGATTTTTAAAAAAGAATGCGACAGGCGGAAGAATGCGGACGCGGGGAGTCGAACCCCTTCAACTGCTTCAATTTCCCGTTCACAACACTACATGAAATGCAGCGGTGCACCATGCACTCAAGCTGCTAGCTAGATGAGTTTTATTGGTGCTGTGACGTGCAAAGCTATGATAGACAGACAGATGGCTAAGCCAAAATTCCTTGTGTTACATTTAAACAAGGAATGGGATGGAACTGCGAGGATAGAGTCATGGTTCGAAAGCTTGAAGAGGCGAAAGAAAAAATAGAAGAAATCCGGAAATAAAATTGAAGTAGTTGAAGGGGTTCAACTCCCCGCGTCCGCATTCCCACTCAATCAGATTTCTCCCTAATGAAATGCAGCGGTGCACCGTGCACCACGTCCACGCTCCAATCCTTTGTGTAACTCAGATTAGCCTCAAATTTGCGTTGAGCCACGAAGAAAGAAAAAAAAAAAAATCTCCGGCCTGCCACAGTGCGGACGCAGGGAGTCGAACCCATACAACTGCTTCAAGTTTACGCTTTCCTAATGAAATGCAGCGGTGCACCGTGCACCACGTCTGCATCCTACTCTTTGTTTACTCAAGCTGCTATCTGGGATAATTTTGTTGGAGTGTGAGCAAAAGCCAGGACCGTCGATTTTTTTCTTTTAACTGGATGGAACTGTTGGGATAATTGGGTACAGTTGTCTGTCATGTAATAGTCCGTAAGTCCTGTTTGAAAGCAGTGGACTGTTGAATTGCGAGAGAAAAAGATGTGTTGAACCATTACCATCAAACGGACGTGAGGAGTCGAACCCCGGCAGCTGCTTCAACAGTATTTCAAATAGAGGGCAGCGGTGCGCCGTGCACCACGTCCGCTTGCCACTCTGGTTTACTTGGACCTCCAAGTATTGGGGATGCGAGCCACCGCCCAATGGCTACCTTGGTTTCACGGAGTGCAATTGTCCAGAATTGTCGGGATAATTGAGGGCTGTGTCTGTCATGTAGCATGTCTTCAACTCATGATTTATGTAAAATGGGTTGAATTTTTGGATTGCACGACAGAAAAAAAGAGCAAAGCAACTCGACAACGTTATCAATGCGGACGCGGGGAGTCGAACCCCGAGAGTTGCTTCATTTTTCTCTACGAAACCCCAAATGAAATGCAGCGGTGCACCACGCACTAATCCGCTTTCCTCTCTCAATTATTCAATCTGCTAATAGGAGGATTTTAGTGGCACGATTAGTTGAAAAAGGTGGGCAGATGTCTCGGAGTCAAACCTTTAATTTTTGCTTGATGAAATTGTGGATATAATTGAGTCCGGATTTGAAAGCTTAAGCAGCTGTACTGTTGACCGTGGCAAAAAAAAAAAAAAACAGCGCTGACAGCCCTATGCGGATGCGGGGAGTCGAACCCCAGCAGCGGCTTCAATGGTTTCTGTCATTCTGAAGGCCCGAATAGAGTGCAGCGGTGCACCGTGCACCACGTCCGCTTCCTATCCTGGTTTTCTTGAGCTGTAACTGGGATAATTTTATTGGGGATGAGAGGTGAATGGCTGCTAGCGCTGTTTTCCGTCCTGGAATTGTCAAGATATTTGGCTACAGTGTCTGCGATATAGCACGTCTGTCAGTCCGTTTGAAAAGAGTTGAACTGTTGAATTGCGAGATAGAGACAAAGAACAACCAAAAAAAAAAAAAGCTGGATCGAGATGTCATGCGGACGTGGGGAGTCGAACCCCAGCGACTGCTTCAACTTTATTTGGATTCCCTTAATGAAATGCAGCGGTGTACCACGCACCACGTCCGCTTCCTGTGCTTGTTTTCTCAAGCTGCTAACTGGGATGATTTTTATTCCCTCGTGTTGTTAGGTTGTTAGGTGAAAAAGATGGCAGATGCGTGGGTGGATCAGAGTCAAACCTTAGTTCTTGCTCGATGAAATTGTGGGGATAGTCGAGTCTTGCTTTGAAAGCGGTTCTAACTGTGAGCAAACCAAAAAAAAAAAAGCGCGCTGACTGCCAATGCGGACGTGGGGAGTCGAACTAGTCTCTTATAAACAGACGATACAACAAAATTTGAGCTCATCCTTCGCTTTGTTGTAGAGTCGAACCCCGATAGCTGCTTCAAGGTTTTCACGATTCTTGTCATGAAATGCAGCGGTGCACTGCGTACCACGTCTGCTTGCTACCCTCATTTACTCAAGCCGCTAACTAGGATGGCTTCTAATTTTATTCGTGCCATGAGAGCTTGAGAAGAAGAAAAAGCTATGAATGGATGGATCAGAGCCAATTTTTACGGGATGGAACTACAAGGGTAAGTAATTGAGTCATCCTTTGAAAACAGCTACTACTGTGGACCAGTGCAAAAATATAGAAACAAAAAAATACACTTCAAACTAGAGATGTGCGGACACGGGGAGTCGAACCCCGGCAGCTGCTTAACGAGTCGAACCCCGACAGCTGCTTCAATTCCGCACTGCAAAGCCATGGAATGCAGCGGTGGCCCGTGCACCACATCCGCTTTCTATTCTTGTTTCCTTAAGCTGCTAGGTGGGAGAATTTCATTTGGTGCTGTGACGTGCAAGCTATCATAGACAGGAAGATGGCCAAGCCAAAATTCCTTATGTTACATTTAAACAAGGAATGGGATGACACTGCACGGATAATAGAGTCATGGTTCGAAAGCTTGAAGAGTTGAAAGAAAAAAGAAAGAAAAAATTCGAGTGAGTGGGAATGCGGATGCGGGGAGTCGAACCCCGGTAGCTGCTTCAATTCAATTTTCAAATCTATTACAACGGATGAATTGCAGCGGTGCACCGTGCACCACATCCGCTTCCTACCCTCATTTCTTCCTTCTCGTAGGTGAGAAGGAAAATAAGGTATTCGAACTGCAAGAGAGATACCGAGCGCGGCCGCGGGGAGTCGAACCCCGGGAGCTGCTTCAATTTTCAGGTTCAGTTCTATCGAATGAATTGCAGCGGTACACCGCGCACTACATCCGCTTACTATCCTCCCTTCCTCAAGCTGCTAACTCGGGTGATTTTATTGGTGCTGTGACGTGAAAAGCTATCATAGACAGACAGGTGGCCAAGCCAAAATTCCTTTGTTTTACATTTAAACAAGGAATGGGATGAGACTGCTAGGATAGAGTCGTGGTTCAAAAGCTTGGGGAGTCGAAAGAAAAAAGAAAGAAAAATTGATCAAAGGGATCCACATATGCGGACGCGGGGAGTCGAACCCCAGCAACTGCAACAGTTTTTCAAACAAATCGCAAATAGAGTGCAGCGGTGCGCCGTACACCACTTCCGCTTGCTACTCTTGTTTACTTGGACCTCAAAGTATCGGGGATCCGAGCCACCGCCCAATGGCTACCTTGGTTTCACGGAATGCAATTGTCCAGAATTGTCGGGATAATTGAGGGCTGTGTCTGTCATGTAGCATGTCTTCAACTCATGATTTATGTAAAATGCGTTGAATTGTTGAATTGCAAGACCAAACAAAAAACCAACTGTGGAAGCTGCATGCCGATACGGGGAGTCGAACCCCAGCATCTGTTTCATTCCCATACCGACAACACATGGAGTGCAGCGGTGCACCGTGCACCACTCCGCTTCTTGCTCTCATTTATTTCTTCTTGTAAGCGAGATGAAATTTACTCACTGCAAGAGAGAGTAAAAAGGGTGGTATGAAACACCGAATGCGGATGCGGGGAGTCGAACCCCAGCAACTGTTTCAACTTTCTTTCATTATTCCACATAATAATATGAAATGCAGCGGTGTACCATCCACTACATCCGCTTCCTACCTTTGTTTCCTTAAGCTACTAACTGGGAGAATTTTATCGAGACTGGGAGAGAGAAAAAGACCCAGGACCGTTGATTTCAAATTCTTTTTGGCTTACTGGATGAGTCGCAGTTTGAGAGCAGCTTTACTGTTGGGGGGTGCAAAAAAAAAAAAGAACGGTATAAAAACAACAACAGAGCCAGTGCCATGCGGACGCGGGGAGTCGAACCCCTGGCAATTGCTCAAATCTGTGCTAGACCACTAATGAAATGCAGCGGTGCACCGTGCACTACGTCCGCTTGCTACCCTCATTTAATCAAGCTGATAAGTACGATGGCTTTATAATATAATTTTATTGGTGCAATGAGAACAAAATGGCCATAAGGTGGATCAGAGTCAAACTTTTTTTTCACTGGATGTAAATTTAATATCGAGTCCTGCTTTGAAAGCAGGGGACCATTGAATTGCGCGACCAAAAAAAGGAACAAAAAACAACCCGTTGTCACCAAACGCGGACGAGGGGACTCGAACCCCTGGTAGCTGCTTCAATTTTGTTTTTCTTTACCCCGCATGAAATGGAGTGGTGCCCACGCACCACGTCCGCGTTCCAATCCTTCGTGTAACTTGGATTAGCCGCGATTTTATTTTGAACCACGAAGAGAAAGAATAAAATAAAAATCTGAATCTCCGAGTCACCGAACGCGGATGCGGGGAGTCGAACCCCAACAGCTGCTTTACCAACCGCAATCGCTAAATGAAATGAAGCGGTACTCCGTGCACCACATCCGCTTCCTACCCTCATTTCTTCCTTCTCGTAGGTGCGAAAAAAATAAGGTATTCGAACCGCAAAAGAGAGAAAAAGCGTTCACAAACTCAGTATACGGACGTGGGGAGTCAAACCCCGTCAGCTGCTTCAACTTTATTTGGATTCCCTTAATGAAATGCAGCGGTGCACCATGCATTACGTCCGCTTCCTACCCTCATTTACTCAAGTTGCTAGCTAGGAGAATTTCATTTGGTGCAATGTGTAAAAAGAGCTATCATAGACAGACAGGTGGCCAAGCCAAAATTCCTTTGTTTTACATTTAAACAAGGAATGGGATGAGACTGCAAGGATAGAGTCGTGGTTCAAAAGCTTGGGGAGTTAAAAGAAAAAAAGAAAAAAAAAATTGATCAAAGGGATCCACATATGCGGACGCGGGGAGTCGAACCCCCGCAGCTGTTGCAATATTCAGACTTGCTGGAGCATGAAATACAGCGGTGCGCCGTGCACCACATCCGTTTGCTGTACTCATTTCTTTCTTTGGGTAAGCGAGATGAAATTTACTCACTGCAAGAGAGAGTAAAAAGGGTGGTATGAGACACCGAATGCGGATGCGGAGGACTCCAAAAAAAAGTGAAGTGCAAAGATAGAAGATAGACGCCGACACCGCCACCGACGCCAAGCGCCAAGGAGCCCTCGAGGTCAAAGATCCCACGCGGGTACTGGGGTCCCGCTTCATAGCCCATTTGAATTTTGAGGATACGCGCAAGAGGATAGACGCGAAGACCAAGACCAAGCCACCGAGATGGCCGTACACCAGATGCGCATCTCTACCCTCCGTCGCCAGCGCACCGGGCATCTGCATCTCCTTTCGAGCCTGCGCGTAGGGACGTAGGGTGAGGAAGGAAAACGTCGCCCCTGTGCGCGTTTGACGCCGCCAGTATAGCGCGCGCCTACCGTCCTGTCTCGCAGGCACGACGTAGCCTTGGCACCGCGCCTCTCGACACGAAGAAAAACACACGAGGTGCCTATCTCCTCCCTTCCCGTATCCCGTATCCGAGCCACGCTGACGTCCACGCGTCGGGCTGCTCGTCTACGTCGCCAGATGCCTCATCTCGGCCCCCCCAAGCGCGTCGTGCAGGACCCAGGTACGCCACGCCCCTGCTTGGCGCACACCGGATAAATGTCTGACTTTGCCACAGACCCTCGACACGGCGCACTCCAAATCGCCCGGTTTCACGAAAAAAAAAGAGGAGAAGGTCCGCCTGCACACTCTCGTCCCCACTCCGCACCGAGCTGATCATGCATCGTAGACGTCCTCATGCCCCTATGCCCTCGAGCGGAGACGCGCTCCGGGGTCGCCCCCACTTGCGCATTCTAGCGCACTTGCTCCCCCGGACCCTTGGCTCGCTCTGGCCACGCACCCTCTTCTGCACCCCTTCTGCACCACTTCCTCGCACCGCACCACACCCCAGCTGGAAAAAGACTCGGAAAAATCCTCCCCAAAACCCCTCCAAAAACAGACTCGAGGGACGAACGAAGAAAAAAACACGCACTTCTCCACGCTAAACCACGCCAGATTCGCGCTATACACGTCCACGAAGTTTGTGTTCCAGACCATCTCGGGCATCCAGTTGGCGTCGGCGACGGAGGGGCCTGGGGGTGGGGTGAGTAAGGAGTACGAACGATGTTATTGGAAGATTGGAAGGGGATGAGAGGAGGAAAAAGACGCGCTTGAGGAAAGAGCGGGCGTCACCATCGACGAGTGAGAGCTCCAGCGCATCCCAAGAAGGCCGCGCACCGCGCACAAAGGTACGCATGCGTTCTCCCTCCCCGTGCGCTGCGCTGTCCCCGCTCACAGGCATCGCAGACCTTGAGCCCCGCCGTCGCGCACGACATCGCCTGCGCCAACCCCACAACGCTGGAGGTACATCTTCCCCATCGGCTCCCGACTGCGCGCATCCTCATTCCCATCGTAGCACGCCTCGACAACGACCCCGGCCTGATTCTGCACCGTGCCACACGCGGGCTCCTCGACGGGGTACACGACATCCGCCCGCCCGCCTCCCGCCCGCCACGACATCCCCATGGCCATCGACTCCGCTCATCGCCACGCAGTCGAGCCTCGCACACGTACACGCCCCCCTGCACGCGCTGCTCTTTAGATGGCCCGTCTCGTTCCCCGCCGCCCGCCCCACGCGTCTCATCCTCTTCGCCCCCTTCCCCACTTCGCTCTCCTCACCCTCCTCCCCCTCAAAAATTCCCAAAACCCTCCCACTCTCAAACGACAACTCACCCCCCCACCCTCCCCCGGATCCAGCCCGCTCGCACTCAGCTGCGTCACAAAGTCGCTAAACTCCCCGAAATAAATTCGCCGAAATAGCTGAAGGGCCCAGAGGTCGCGGGGCGGTGGCCGTGCGCGGTGTGGGGGTCTGGTTTGTTTGATGCCTGGGGGGAAGGAGGGGGTGAGTGAGAATGGGTGGGAAGAGGGAAGAGGGAGGGAGGGAAGGGGAAGAGAGGTGAAGGGGAGAGAGGGAGAGAAGGGGGGAGGGGGGGAGGGGGAGGTGGGAAAGGCGCAGACGACGACACCATCCCGCTCCACCAGCGCCCACGTCGATGCAGATGCTGACGCGGTGGAGAACGTCAAGGATAACGAGGCCAAGGTCGCCTCTGGCTCCGCCACCACCGTCGTCTCCCGCCTCGAGAGGCGCACGAGACGAGCCGCTGCAGTCGACAACAACAGCGCCGTCGATCGCATTCGACGCTACGAGTGTCCCCCCGCATACTTGTCACCCCGCGCACCTCCGCACCAGCGGCTCGACGGAGGGGCGTCGTCACCCGACGTCTCGACCGCCCACAAACTTCGGCTATCAAGCCCCACCTCCCTCGAGCATCGGGAGCCGCTCCGCGTGAACCTCGCGCACACAATCTCGCAAACACCACCTTCGAAAGAAAAGGAAGGGATGGGAAGGAAGGCCTAGGATGTCGTCGTCCCCACACCTCGACAACGACAACTACAGCGCAGAGTCCCTGTCCCCACCCATAGCGCAGCGTCGAGGTCGCCGTCCACACGAGCAGTCCGGGTGTCCCCGTCCCTAGCGCCGATGCTGGCGGCGTGGAGAATAAGTCGAGGTCGTAAGGTACGCCTTGGGCGGCCGTCACCGTCTCGTCTCGTTTCGTAGACGTGCGCTAACTCTCGCCGCAGTAGAGCCGTATCTGGCGTCGAGGCATCGGAGGCGAGCCCAAGACCGAGACCGAGCCCACCCCACGCGACTCCGTCGCACCAACTCGCCGACAATCGCTCGCCCCGCTCATCACCATCGCGTCATCGACGCTGACACACACCGCCTCGACACCGACTGCGTCCCAGCCGCACGCACGTCCCCGTCGTCTGCCCGCTCCCACAAGACGGGCGCTTTCCCCAAAAAACGGGGAACGAAAACGGGCGCTCTCCCGCCTTTTCCGTGCGCCACAACAAAGAAAAAACTCTGCCACTCGCTCCCACCCGCTCCCACTGATTACAAGACCAAAAACCACAAATCTGATACCCAATAACCCGCCCCCCCCCAAAAATACGCCCCGCCGCGCCGACGATGGCGAGGTCGAGCGGCTGCGTGGCGAACCAGGGGATGCCGAGGAACCAGTTTACGTTTACGAGGGTGGACATGTTTGACATTTGTGTGGGGGAGGGGGTTAGGTTTTTATTCCAATAATAATAAGGCGAAAAGGAGGAGGGGTAGGGAGAGGGAGAGGAAAGAGGGGAGAGGAAAGAAAAAGGGGAAAGGGGAAAGAGGGAGGGCGGGGGAAGAAGGGAAGAGGGAGAAGGAGGGGAGGAGGGAGATGGACGGGAATGGAGGGGGGAGACGACGAGCGCGGGTAGGCAGGACACCATCCCACTCCACTACGCTGAGGTCGAGGTCGCCACCGCCCACCATCACCATCGTCTCCCGCCTCGAGCTCGCGCAGTTTTCCTCGTCCCGATCAGCGCAAATTTTATCACACTTACAGTACAAGAAAAAATAAATGAGTGAAGGAAGCGGACGTGGTGCGCGGCGCACCGCTACACTCCATTAGCCAAGGGGAAAGTTGAAGCAGTGAATGAATGGGGTTCGACTCCCCGCGTCCGCCGCATGCGTGTGATTTTTTTGTTCTTTCTTCTGGCGCCTGCCGCGGACAGCCGGTTTCAAAAGACGGCTCTATTATTATCCCCACAATTTGACTCCGTTCCATCTGCCCATCCACCTTTTTCAACTAATCGTGCCAATAAAATGATCCTAGCTAGCAGCTTGAGTGACTGAGGGTACCTAGTGCGTGGTGCACCGTTGCATTCCACAGGTTTGTGGCAAGGAATTGAAGCAACTACCGGGGTTCGACTTCCCTCGTCCGCACTGGCATGCATCGTTCATATCCATGTTTTTTTTTCTGTTCTTTCTTTTTGCACAGGCCAGCTGCTTTCAAAGCATGGCTTGATTAATTATACCGCCCAAAGTTCCATCCCGAGATACACTATCTTATCACAGCCCCAATAAATCACCC